AACAAATCTCTGCATAGATGCTATTTTCTAGAATGCTTATTAATTTACCTTTAACGGGCTGGGCCCTATGACTTATTCCTGTAGTTCCAGCACTTCAGGAGGGTGAGGTGAGCCAATTACTTGAGCCCCAGAGTTCCAGACCACCCTTGACAAATGGCAAAACTACAAAACATACAAAAAATTAACCGGGTGTGGTGGCGCATGCCAATAGTCCCAGGTACTCTGGAGGCTGAAGTGGGAGGATTGCCTGAGCCCAGGAGGTTGAGGCTTCAGTGAGCCAAGATTTCACCACTACACTCCTGCCTGGGTGACAGAGCAAAACCCTGTCTCCAAAAAAAAAAAATATTACTTTCAACTTTTTGATCTATGAACCATCTGGAATTAATTTTTGTGCATGGTGTGACATATGGATAAAACTTACGTTTTTTCCGTGTAGATGTTCTATGAGCCTAATGCTGTTTATTGAAAAGGCCATCTTTTTTTCACTGTAGCATAGTGGTTTCTCTTTATAAACTGATTATTGCATGTTTTGGTCTATTTCTTTATTAATATTCTTTATTAATATTTATTCAATTGATCTATTTAGGTATCCTTATAATAATACCATGCTGCCTGAATCATTATAGCTTTATAGTAAGTCACAAGATTTCAGAGTAAGATTTCTAACTTTGTTCCGTTTCTTCAAAATGATCTTGGCTGTTTTTTCCTTTCTTTTTTTTTTTTTGAGATAGAGTTTCATTCCTGTTTCCCAGGCTGGAGTCCAATGGTGAGATCTCAGTTTCCTGCAACCTTTGCCGCCCAGATTTAAGCAATTCTCCTACCTCAGCCTCCCCAGTAGCTGGGAATATAGGCACCCACCACCATGCCTGGCTAATTTGTTGCATTTTTAGTAGAGATGGGGTTTCACCATGTTGGCCAGGCTGGTTGCAAACTCCTGATCTCAGGTGACCCACCCACCTTGGCATCCCAAAGTGTTGGGATTACAGGCGTGAGCCCCCGTGCCCAGCCTGTCTTGGCTATGTTCTGACGTTATAAGTTGTACTCAAATTTTAGGATAGGTTTACCAACCTTCCCAAAACTAATCAGATATTAATTTTGATTGTTTTGCATTTATGCCTCAATTTTTAAAAGTTTATCTTTAAAATAGGAAGCCTTTCAATCTACGAGTGTGTTGCATTCCTTCATTTATTAATGTGTCTGTTTTCTCTCATAATGTCTTGTATCAGATGTGATCAAACTCTGATCCTCATTTTGTCACAGCTGACTGTAGTCTCAGGGACCTCTCCTGCCCACCTTATTTCCTGCCATTCCCTGTCATCTGTGCATCTTTCCAAATTCTTTGAATTTCATACCATGTCTAGAATACAAAAGACTATTTCTTACTTCATTGCCTTTGTTTGACTTTTTTTCTGTTTCTAGAAATTTTTCTTCTCTTCTGTGTCTTGCAATTTCCTAGTAATAGTTGAAAACAAAGCTCAACTCCAACTATCTCTATTAAATCTTCCCTTGCAGAGTAAATTATATTGTGCTATGTGGATTGATAATACTTTTTCATATCACTGTATTTAATTCATATCACTTTCTTCCACTAAATGAACTCCTCAAGGGGCAAGGCCTGCATTTCATTTGCCTTTGTGCCACCAGTACCTTGCACAATTCTTAGCTGAGCAAGAGTTCCACTAGGCCAGGTACAGTGACTTAATGCCTGTAATCTCAACACTTGGGAGGCTGAGGCAGGAGGATTGCTTGAGCCCAGGCATTCAAGACTAGCCTGGGCAACATGGCAAGACCCTGTTTCCACCAAAAAAATTTTTTTAAAAAATTAGTTGGGTGTGGTGTCATATACCTATGGTCCCAACTTCTTGGGAGACTGAGGCAGGAGGATTGCTTGAGCCCAGGGGGTCAAGGCTGCTGTTGCATTCCACTACATTCTAGCCTGGGTAGCAGAGTGACATCTTCTAAAAAAAAAAAAAAATCGACTATTGTCTACTGAATGAATGAATATGTCCTCATTAGCTAATCTGAACCAATTTATGTACTCAGGCACACTAAAGTAGAAAGAACTTTATATAACTTTCAAGTTTCACAATGTCTCAGGGTTACCTGGTATTTGAAATAAACTAAGTGAAAATATAACAAATATACCTTAAAACCCACATCTCAAGAAAAATTTAAGAAACTTCCTATTGCTGTGTTCTGAATTTTTCTTGTAATTAGTCATGCTTATTGTGTATTCCACAGAATGACTACATCAGGATCATGTGCAGTGATATATCAGATACCCTGGCCTCAAATCTGAACTCAGGACTTCCATCATTAAACAAGGGCTTGAGAGTATGCATTTCTTACAAGTGTCTGAGATAATACTCATCCACATTGTCTTAGAGATTCATGGGCCTAGAAATAGCCTTTTGGATCATTCTTTTAAATGAAAGATAGATCTTCAAGGAGAACTATCCTTTCAGGATTATGGCTTTAGAATCTCTCCCTGGCTTTCATTCCCTCTGAGAGGAGTCAGAGTAGTCTGAAATTAGGCTTCCAGAATTAGAGTAGTCTGAAGGCTTTAGTAGCAGGCTGTTTCAGTTAAAAACAGAGTATACGTAAGAATCTAATACTATCAAAGATAAGGATAAAGGGAAGCCTAAGGAGAACTGTGTCCTATTACTATTACGGAAATCCTCCATATTGGATGCCAATTCAGGTCAAAGTTGATTGACTCCTTAGTTCCTGTCCATCCTACTTTCACCATTGTGTCTCTACCTGTGGTGACATGGACCTGGACCAGAAACTAACACTTACAATTCTATTTCTGTTCTAAGAACGCTTAAAGAGCAGTCCCTGAGGGTCAGGATTGGCCTTTCATGGTAGTCCACGTAAAAGGCAAAAGAAGCAGTAAGTGGGTTATTTCTTCCCCACCCAGGGCACCATGGCCATCTGGATTGTGGATTGCAGGTAGGGGTGTGTGTGTGTGTGTGTGTGTGTGTGTGTGTGTGTGTGTGTATGTATTTTCTAGAGTGAAAATACTGATTTCTTGTCCCCCTTTTCCCTTCAACAATCTAAGCCATTTTATTCTACCCAGGAGCTTTGTAATGAAAAAGGTCCCTTGTGTTTTGATGAAATCCAATGAGTTAATGACAGAAGGTCAGTTTGTAACACTAAAATGCCAACATGCAGGGAAATGGAGGGAACTCAGATGGTTTATAGGTTAGCAAAGTCGGAACTAAGTAAAAACCCTTTAAACTCCTAGGCAGAATACAAACCAGAAGAATGTTTCAGCATCACTTATTTACGATTAGAATGTTTGTATTTCTTCATTATAAATATCTTTCCACATTCACTTTGGCTGCCTGAAGTTTGTGTGTTCAGAGACAGGTGAGTAACAGCATTGAGAGAGAAAAGTGTTCTGCATTTGGAATCAAAGTGTTCAATTATTGGGAGAATGTAGTCCCCGGGACATATGCTGAGGCAATAAGGGCTGGTCCATTTCCAGATGGAGCTTTTGCACCAAAACCACAGAAGGATTGTGAATTTGATTTCTTATCTAACAAAGCTTCATTTCAAATACAGCTGCCTGAGGATTCTGTTCCAAAACAGATTTACAAGAGAGCCAACAAAGACTGTGTAAAAATGGTTCTAAGCAAAGATCATATAATAAATAAATAAATAACAATCTGTACTATCTATAGACTACCATAATTAGCACTAAGTCAGATTACTTAATAATTCCATATCAATGCTTCCATTGCTATTTGAGGAAAGATACTGAGCAAAAAAAAAAAAAAAAAAAATGACAGTGCTTCATTTTTTTGATGTGACCTGGGGACAGGTCACACCAAAATGTCGGTATTAACATGATGCTTCCTTGAAACTTTTCTAATGTTGGAGCATGTTAAGCTTTAGAAAAATGGTGATAAGTAACATGGACCTACACTTCCCAGTAATATTCAAAATATCTTCTGAAATTAGCAAGTGTTAAAGAGTCTTGAGCATGAAGGGTATAGGCTTACCCAACACCAACTGCACAGTTGAATGTGCCTAAAATGTGGCATATATCAGTGGTATCCATTTCTAGTAAAGGAATAGAGACCCCAGGGCTTATAGAATCATGAATTGCCCACAGCCAATTCCAGGACAAAATTTACTCACATGGAATGATATTAATATTTGCTCAGAGTAGACTATTAGTTCTCAAAATATTGTGAAAGCAAACATGTCAGAAACAGTAGAGGCAATTCTCTGATCACTGACACAGTGTTCATCTTACTAAAGGTATGATAGAACCTGAAATTAATTTTGTTAATTTCATATGTGAAACAAAGATGAGGTGTCTAATATGAGTCCCAGCTGCAGTGAGTTGAGATATAAGGCGGCATAATGAATCATTTGATGCCTAATGTACATCATAATCACTGTATCACTGGCAGGGCACAGGCGTTGTCTCTCAACCCAGGTAGCACATGCTGGGGAGCTTTAAAAAATATTGATGCCTGAGGTTGTCCTCTCTCATTCTTTTCAATACATCTGGGGTATGCCCCAGGCATCAGTATTTTTTTAAAGCTCCCTCAGGTGATTATAATGTACTACCGAGGCCATGTGTCACTAATCACTGGTGTAGGGTATCATTTCTCAACTTTGTACTTGTTAAAATCACCTGAGAAACTTTCTAAATATTCTGCTGTAGTCTGGGCCCCATGTCAGACCACATAAATCAGAATGAGAAACTTCTAGATATAGGATTAAAAAAAATAAAAATGTCTAGGTCACTGTATTTTGCAACCAGAGTTGGGAATTACACACAGGGTTGGCTTTCTCACAAAGCAAGTTAAATGCATTTTAGTAGCTTTTTTTAAAAAAAATTCTTGTCTGTAAAAACACATTATCTTGATTGTCAGGACTCTATCATATATATGTATACATGTTCATTCATGCACACATGCTCATGATAGGATTGCATTGAACTTGAATATTTGTATCAGAATTTCAACATCAGAAAAATACTGCCAGAAAAGGCACTGGAGTTTTTTTTCTTTCTAATTTGTAAAACCAGGACAGATGATTCTCATCTCAGGTTCTGCGAGTAGAAAATCTTTCCTCCAGGAGATACTGTCATTCAGCTGTTCAAATCCTAATGTGCTTGAAAATTGCTGATGTGCTAGATACTTTTTTCTTTCCAAAGGAGTTGGTTATGAAACATCTAAAAATGAAGCATGAAACAAAAGAGAGAATTAACTTATAATTGCTCTGTTGAAACATTTAGTGCCGATCTTGGCAGATTGGTGAATCCATTTGCAAATCTCAAAATTTAGGAGTCAGCAGTTCTTAGGTGTACAGAGTCATTAAACTCAAGGATTATGTCATTGTATTTGCAAATGCCAAGTGTGTTTTGAACAAATGAAAGATTGAATAAAAGATCATTAATTAATACTATATGTACCAAACATATCACTAGGTGCTCTTAAAAATTTTTACTCGTATAATGCTGATAAAATTTCTGTGATTCAGAATTTTTATTATGCATGTTTTTTTAAATTAAGAAAATGGAAGCTGTTAGAAGTTAAGGAACTTTCTCAATATCACACCGCTACAAAGTATCTGAGATTGGTTTGATCTCAGGTTATCCGCCCCATTGAAGGACCAGTTTTCATTTATATGTCTAATAAGGTTTTTCTTCTCTGTATTTCCTCTCTCTATGTATAACTAACATTTATGAATGGCCTTCTATACCACTGTTCATCTGGTAATAAATGCACAATATGGTCTCCATTAACCAAAACTCAAGGGATTGTGACCTTCTGCTGGTGTCAATCCCTTTGCTGTTCCAGTTTCTGTTAGATCATCCTAAAATGTATCATTTTTAAATTTTGCCTTAGTAGGTACAGGACAGGGAATAAGATTTCTACTTCGATGATCTATTGCTTTTCAGAGCCCTTTGGGAAAAATCCGGTACCACTGTAAACATAGAAAAAGATAAATTTTTTCAGGTCATTTTTGAGTTCCTCCTAAAAGCAATGTTCAGAAAAATATTAAGTTAATGAAAACATCATACAATATTTTATTGAGAGCAGAGGCCAAATGTTTAATTTTATGTATCTTCAGTACCTAGAAACATTCCTTCCATCCAGCAGGCAATTGGCAGATTGCTGTGGCAAGGATAGCAATAGAGATTTGAAGCTTTCTAATATTACCTACCTATACCACCTGTTTCTCTAATTCTGTGTTGTTGTTTTAATCTCAGATATGCACAAGCATAGACACACAACATTATGGAGGGAAAATAAAACCTCTTGTGGAAGACTTTTACGTTTGAAGAGAAAATTTCATTCTTCAAGAATGCTTGTATATTCAAAGGCTTTAAAAATAATACTTTTAAGTCTGGGGTAAAGGATGCTCAAGGTGTTCATCTGGAAACAGCTGGACATTCTTAGAAAATGCGTCTTTAGTTATCCCTAGTCATTCCCACTATATTAGTTTCCTATTGCGCTGTAACAAATTACCACAAGCAGTGATGTAAAACAACACAATTTTATTATCTTACGGTCCGTAGGTTCAGAAGTCTGCCACAGTTCTTACTGATCTAAAATCAATGTGTTGACAGGGTTACAGGCCTTTCTGGAGGCTTCTTGAGAAAGAATCTGATTCCTTGCATTTTTTAGCTTCTAAAGAATATCTGCATTTTTTGGTGAGTGGTCCCTTCCTCAATTTTCAAAGTCATCAACAGTACATTTCCCTAGTATTTCTTCCATTCTCACATGTCTCTCTCAACTCAACCAGGAAAGGTGACTAGGCTTGGCCCAGCTGGACACTTTAGGGTAAGTTTTTCATCTCAGGGACCTTAACTTACCTGGAAAAAAGAGCCTTGCAGCTTAAGGTAACACATCCACAGGTTTCAGGAATTAGAAAAGAGGACAATATTCTGGGGGGAAAAGACATTATTTTGCCTACCACAACCACTCTTTTTCCAATGTCCTGTAGCCTTCTCTCTCTTCTAATATCTTCAGATTTTTTTGTGGTGCTATGGGGAAACTAGATGTTTCCTGCAGCCCAAAGTAGCATTATTGGTAAAAGGAATTCTGAGATCTGAAAAATCTCTTAGTGATTTTGGAGGTGGGAAATTCTGGTGCATTTGAAGGTTGAAAAGCATCTCAAAGATAGATTCATTTTAACAACCAAAAGGATAGAAGAAAAGACTGGAACAGAAAGCAGGATGTGAACTAACTATTTATTAGCATTGGACATGTGTCATCAGCCTCCCTGAAAGGGGAGGAAGCAAGGGTAAAACCTTCTCCAATAAATGCATCTTGTCAAGGACGCTGCCCTTAACTGCAAAGGCTGAAGGGGAAGAGCAGCTCATTTCCTTTTGTAGATGGTGGGATATTATTCCGTGGTGGTCCTCAACTCTTCCAATACCTATAAGACTTCTCTCCAATAAACTAGAGTGAAGTGAAAAGATATTTAAGTTAAACAAAAAAAAGACACTTAAGTTAAACAAAAACCAAATCTCTCTTTTCTCCTTCATGTTCATCTTCTTTCCAAGCCACACCTGTAAAGGTACAAGAATCCACTGTGTTCTGTAGTAATTGACATCAAAGCAGACCTAGATTTGGAGAGAGAATAGAATTAAGTGGGCAAGTAACAAGTCCCTTTTAAGTGTCAGACTCTCTCCCTCTTTTTTATTCCTTTTGATACTGAATTAATATTGGTAAACTTTTGGAGAGAATCTCAGAATGAGTAACAGTGAGAAGTAGCAGTGAGAGATTTGAATGTATTCTCTGTCTCCAAAGCCCGGTTTTTGTTATTTTTTTTCTTCTCAAAACTGGGCAGAAGAGCAAGCATTGGCTGATATTTTATAATATTGATTGAAATTAAGAGGTAGGCAACAATGAAGAATTACTAGTTTCTTGTAATGTTTTTAAAATTTTAAGAATAGTATTTGGGCATAGAATATAATAAATGGGTGCTATTAATATATATAGTCTTGATTTAAATTATTGTTAAAGCTTTTTTTTTCTGCTCATTAGAAAAGCAGCCACAGTATGTACACATTAATCTATTTCTCACTCAGCTTATTCAGTGGTACAGCTATTATGTAAAAGGCTGTGAGTTAATCTTGAAGAAGGCACAAAGTAAAAAGGACATAATTTTGGCTTCAAGGACTATATGGCACAGGGTAGGATCACACAATTGAATAAATAAAATGAAAGGTAGAATATAAATGCCATAAGGGTGTTGGTATAAAGTGCTATGAAAATATATTCTCCAAGGTACTCAGGGTAGATTTCATGAAATGATATTTGCTTTATCACAAGTTGTGACATATTGACAGGATCTGGCAAAGCAAAAATAATGCAATGAAGAAGTTGGAGGCAGAAATAGGCAGAGGCCTGAGGAGACAGATATAGATAGCTGATTAATGAGATTCCCTAGTGTTCCCATTGCCCATATGCTAGAGTGAGTCATAATGATTAGCGAAGCTTAGCAGAGAAAACTAAAGATCATTGTAATCTGAGTCATTAGTCAGCTTCCAAAAATAAGATCATTTTACATAGGTAAAGTTTATATGGCAGATTAACGGTAAAAAAAATAGCCCAAATTTTCCACCACTTTTCATATCCAAGCTTTTTGTAATATCACATAGCTTTCCTCATCAAGAGACTGCAGAGGTGGAAGGTACCTCTTTCTGCAACCCTTGAACACGATTTGACCCTATGACTTGCATTGGCCAAAAGAATGCAAGTAGAAGTGTGTGTTGGTTCAAGAAGACTTAAACAATTCCACTTGCTTTTCTTGAAAATTGCCACCGCCACAGGACTGAGCACAGAGCACATGAAATAGGTCTAAGTTATTCCAGTTGTTTCAACTGAGACCTGAGATACGGGAGACAGTCCAGATAGAGCAACGTAATTGGAAGTCAGAAAGAGGAGAGGAGGGAAATATAAATCTGCTGTTTCAAGGCTTTTATATTATTCTTGAAGTGGTATATTATTTGAAGGTAGACTCATCAACTAAAGATGCAAATAACTATTAAAAGAAAAAAAAGACAGGGCAGCTGGGGAGAATACTAAAAATATTCAGTCTACAGCATGATACAAAAAGAAGTAAAGAACAAAGAACAAATGAAACAAATAGAAAATATCAAGAGGATTTATATAATATCAACTATACAGAAATTCCATTGAATCTAAATAGTCTGATTTAAAAACATTGGCTGTTAGACTGTGTTAAAAAGCAAACAAAGCTATACACCGTCTACAAGAAAATACTTAAAATATTAGAATGGCCATACTAATACTGATCAAAGTACATATCAGATAAAGGAATATTATCAGAAATAAAAAGGGGGCATGTCATTATGGAGTAAATTCACCAAGATGGTATAACAACCTTAAATGTGTATATGCCAAATAACAGAACCTCAAAACATACCAGGAGAAAAACCTGACCAAACTGAAATTAGCAGTAGACAAAGTCTGTCATAGCTGGCTATTTTGATACTTCTTTCTCAGTAGTTAATAAAACAAGTAGTTATAAATGTCAGCTGGATATGGACGACTTGGAAAAACACATCACCAACTACACTGAAGTTAGCACTGTTGTTGGAAATGTGAAATGTTTAAACCACTTTGGAAAGCAGTTTGGAAGCTCCTTATCTTACTATATAACCCTACCACTTTACTCCCAGGTATTTACCCAAGAGAAATGGAGCCACATACCCACACGAAGACAAGTACGTGAATGTTGTTGGAGCTTATCCATTAGCTTCCACCTCCAAAGTAGAACAAATAATCCATCACAATAAGAAAATTGTATATTCATATGATAGAAAACTACTCAGAAACAAAATCAAGATCCATGCAACAAGTGGGTCTCCAAAAGCATTATACGGTGCAAGTGACACAGAGGAGTTGATTGCTATGGTTCAATTCACATGAAATTTTAAAAAAATGCAACTGACAGATGCAGGTAAATACTTTCCCTAGGATTAGGGAGGAGTGAAGGCCCTTCATACAAAGGGACACAGATAAACTTTTTTGTTTTATGAAAATGTTCTATACCTTTATTATGAAGGTGAAAACACATGTATATAGCTGCTGAAACTCATTGAACTGTACATTTAGAATAGGTGTAGTTTACTGAAGGAGGGTCATATTTTAATAAGATTGATTATCAAAAAGAATGTGTCTTACCCCATTCTTAACACTAGCTCCATTTAGATAAATAAAACATATACCTAGTGTGTGAATTAGGAAATAGTGATCTTTCAGAAATAATGTTCTGTGGAATTAATGTCTGGCTAGGTGAATTGATACCTTGAGATTTTAAATTAAATTTGGTGCTGCCTTCCTCTTTTCTGAAATGGAAATGTGAACACAAATGAGTTTCATCTAGAAGGGAAATCCACAGCTATCACAAGTTCCTTCTCTTGATTAAGATGATACAACGAGGAACACAAATGAAGCACCCCATAAAAATACACTGTCTGTACTTCTATTATTCCTGAATGTCTGGTGAATGATGCATTGTGGTTACCCAGACATGTTACCTACTTGGAGAGCTGAGCACTAACTCCCTGCTTTACAGTTCTTTCAGTCCAATCAAAAAGAGAAAACATTCTAAGTGATGTTTATAAGTGGGTTGAGAGATAGCAGAGAAGGCGACTATTTTAGCAATGGGAAGATAATAAATCTGGTTTCAGACATATTGAATTGGGGGTGCCTATAAAATCTTCAGTTGAAGATACCCAGTAAGTAGATGAGGCCACAAGCATGGAGCTTTAATAAAAGTCATAGGTGTTGCTGGGGATATGATGTGGAAATTAAAATTGGGAGGTTGAAGAGGAAGGAAGGAAATGGTTAATATCTATTATGTTCTTTCTTTTTAAAAAGTTATATGGTTAAAGAAAAGAAAGGAAAACTTACAGACAACTTGCTAGAAAACTTGCTAGAGTATATTTCCCAGCTGAAGCGTAGAAATTAGCAAAGAGAATTAAGTATAAGATAGAAATACTGGATTCGTGTTGTCTCCATGGAGATAGAAATGTGATAAAGAGCTCAACCCAGGTGACAATGTTGAATTTGAAAATAAGAAGATAAAGATTTGGGAAATACAGGAACGAGAACTGGTAGGATTCAGATTGTTGTCTATCTTCACACACACACACACCTCTCACACTTAAAGTTTGACAGCAAGAAAATTAAAAGAGGGGCTTGAGAGGACAGAAAAAAGTGATTGGGGTCAAGTCCGAGGCTTTGTTACAAAGCTAACAGTTATACACTTGTAAAGGCCCACTCTAAAACTACATTATAAAATTCCTCAACAACATTGATGACCTGGAAGCAAGAGTTGAATGACAACTGGTTTATTAGGAATTTCATTTGGGATTAGTCTGTGGACAGTATAAGAGGCAACTTTCATATGACCTTTTGTGTTTGGAACTTGTCACGTATTTACTGATTGGGTACCTGAAGGTTGCAAAGCAAGGTTGTAAATTTGGGAAAAGTTTTAGAGCAAGAAAAAGTAGTAGCTGATGGGGACCTGTTGGGTGTTAGAGAAGAAAGTAAGGCCATTGATTATGGAAGATCAATTTTCAAGGTGGATGTCCCACTGGAGAGAGAAGGAATTTGCTGGAGAATGTCGTTTTAGTATGTTTAGGGACTGGAGAACTTTGAGGAACAAGCTCAGAACCAAGTTTATGTCAGAGGAACGAATAGTGGCTGAAAATGCAATGTAAGAAGCTTACAAAAATTGTCTTCCTTATGACTTGTTTTCTAACTACAGTTCTACATCTTCAGTACCACCTCCTTTTCTGTCTCATTCGGTGCACTGGGACAATGGAAGAAGCAAATATAGATGTGTGGGAGAACAGTAGATGCCATGTTTTCTTTTTAGTACTTGGATCTCAAAATCAACACCTGGGACAGGGTAGAGGGAAGGAAATGAACCAGAAATGGGAGGCAGGACTGAACAGAACTGAGTAAAATTAGAAACTAAACATAAGATCCCAGTTAGGGTGATGGGAGCAATTTAAGCTTTAGGTTCTCCTAAGTCAGAAAGGGCCTTATGTTGGATACGTATGTATGTGCTACAAACCGACTAGTCATTTTGTTTATGTACTACTAATGTAAATAGTCTGTGTAGAATATCATAATGTTACTGTCATTATTTTCAAGCCTTAGATGGGCTAAGTGGTACTGAGGTTCTGGATTCTGGTCACCTTCGAGCAAGGAAATATTTCATTGATATTCTCTCTGATCGCTTCCAATCCTCTTTATTTCTTACTTGGCTTTTAATATTCACTTGACGAAGGAGAAAAATATATGTGTGTGCACATTTATAAACACTTATGAGACAGCGTAATGAAGCCATTTTTGTAAATCTGAGATCTGAATTCAGTGTGGTTGTCATTTAAACTTTCCTTTTGTATGAGATGTATTAAATACTCCTTAAGAGAACAGGGCCCTAGGGGTCATATTTTCTTAAAACAAGACATGTACTTCCATTACGTGCTTCTGTGTTTGAAAATGATGTACAAGTTATATGTATAGGAGTGAAGAATAGGAGTACTGAAGTTGATCTTACCCCTGAAGAACTTCTCACAGTTGTAAGCCACTTTATTTTGTACTACTCCA